GCTTATTTTGTAATCCATTTCACATGTTTTCTTTATCTCTCCATTTTTTCCTCTCTCTCTCTTTTTTTAATTCAAAATTTTGTTTGGTTCTAACTTTGAGCCTGGAACCTTACGCCAGGGACTGGAGATGCAAAAATGACAGACATGTAGGTACTCTTGCTGTCACAGAATTGAGATTGTAACAGAGACACAGGCCCACTGGAAACTATAATATAGTGTGTCAGGTGGCATGGGAGCAAGTAGGAGGTAAGTACCTAGGCCAAAATTAGTGGCTAAGTTGAAAAAGTTTGAATCCAGAGTAAGAGGCTGTGGGATGGAAGAGGGAGCAGACAGCAGAGAGATCTCAGAAGAACAGTTCTCAAAGAGGGTAGCTCTGTCTTCAAGTAGGCATTTCAAACAATGGTAAGGACGTTTTGGGATGCCATAATGAAGAAAAGTGTTACTTTTTGTTACTTATCTAGTTTTACTGAGAGGTAAGTCAGAAATTGCGGATGCTGTGCAAGCACACACCCCATCCCACATAACTTTTTAATGTCCTTACATGGAAAATTATACAAATGGGAAATCCCATTTATAACAATCTGAGCTCAGAATCTAACTCCATTTTACATATAATCACGAAGTAAAATTTTGTGTAATTTTAATTAAAAAAATTTTTTTTTGTTGTTGTTGTTTAAGGAATGCTTTTACCCAGTAAAATAAATTGAGGGAATGCTGTGCCTTCTTTTGTTCAAAATTTATGAAGAACCGTTCACAGTGGTGGAAAATCATTTCAACAGTGGAAACCCAGCTTAAAGTAATAGTTACCCAAATCATAAGTGGTAGTATTATTGCACACTCCATCACAAGTGAAAGAGAGATCTGAAATTTCATTGACTAGAATTAAGAACTAAATAATGGGATACAGGAATTTCAATGGGTTTCATTTATATGGATTGCTTAAAATATGTCATATTACTTATTTAAAATATTTATAACAATGAAAAATCTACATTTGTTATGGTTTGGATCTGAAACATCCCCCAAAGTCTCATGTGTTCCGGGGCTTTTAGGAAATAACTGGAGCTGACTTCATTAGTAGATTAATCCATTGATAGCTGAAGGGACAACTGGGAAGTGGGACCTAGCTGGAGAAAGTATGTCAATGTGGGAGTACCTTGGAAGGGTTTACCTTCTCCCTGGTTTCTCTCCTTCTTGATGCCATGAGCAGAGCAGCTTTCCTCTACCATAATGTTCTACTTCACCTTAGGCCCCAAACAAGGGAGCGACTGACCATGGGACTGAAAACTATGAAACCATAAAGTAATTTGAAAAGGTATAAAGAAACCATACCCAGAATATTAACCAGTCATCTATATAAATGCATTAAAAGAAATATGTTCTTTCTTTTCATACTAAGTCTTGAAAATTCAGTATGTATTTTATCCTTAAAGCACATTTCAATTTGGGTTACCACATTTTAAGAACTTAACAGTCACGTGTGGCTAGTCTCAACCCTATGGAACAGTATAGCTCTGAAGCATCCAGATTTATCAACCGAAACTAGGTTTTCCGTTAAGAATTAATGCAGAAGTCATTCTATTTGAATAACCCCCATCCTGAAGAATGGCTAAATTTATTAATATCTTAAGAAACTAACAAAAGCCCTTGACTTCAGAAGAAAAGAGAAAATGTGGTTTCTGGTTCCAATGCAAAAATTCTGTATGTCAGATATGCTACCTACCTAATTTACCCTCAGTATCAATATTCACTGATACCCTATCATAAAGGTGCTTATTTGGTATTGCTTGTATGATTTTTTACTTGAAAAATTGGTGTTATATGAAAGGTTTCATCATTTGGAGTTCTAATGAATGCATTCATTCCTCTCCACTGATATTTAAACAGTCCCATGACATGTTTACAGAACTTACAGGTGTCAGTTCAGCCTGTTCTTCTGTGAAGTCAATATGACGCTTGGCCTGCTTGCGGGGACATCTCAGAGAAATAGCATGCTGTGAAAATGGAGGAAGGAAGAAAATGATAGGTAAAGGAGGTGAAAAGGGCAGCTCTCCTTGTCATGCAGAAAGAAAAAAGGATCACTGAAATGAAACAAAACAGTAATGAAACAAAAGAGTAATGAAAAGTTACATGCAATTACCTTAGATTCTTTTATGCAAAAATTAGAGATTGGGACCAAATGATCCTAAGCCTTAATAATTTATGAATCATCTCCCTCTACCTCTGGACAATACAACTCATGGGAGAATTGTGCACAAACATCGTGTCCAATACCAATTCAGGCTGACAAACTTTAATTTGGCTTTGACCACGGTTTGGCAGCACTCTTCACCTCTACCTCTCACTCCGCTAAATCATCCTTTCGTACCCTGTTCTGAGTTCTTCAAGCTTCTAGCTTCTCCCTTCCCCCTTGTCACATGAGCTCACTTCCCCCCATTACTAAGAAAATCACATCCATCATGAGGATCTTATCACTAAAGTAAACTCTGGAACTAAATCCATATTCTTTCTCATATCTTCCCCCAGTTCTATATAAATAGCCTCCCCACCCACCAATATCTAACAATAACAAAACCAAGCATATCCCAGATTCTACTCATTCTTCCTCCAACATGAGTCTCTGATACTCAATGAGGCCAGCCCACTAAGGGTGAGGGCACGGGGGGGGGGGGGAAGCTTCCTGGTTAAACTAGTATTTTCTCCTCTGCACTACCAATTTTCCTAAATTCATGGTCTAAAGCTCCTCCACCTTTTAGCTACTCACTTATTTCATAATTTCCTGAAATAATTTTTTTTTCTGAAGCCTTTATCCTTTGAATTGTAATGCATTTTGTAATTCATTGTCAAAGTCATTAATGATCTTTCAACCAAAAAAGGTTTGTCTTTCCTATCATAGTACTTGCCACACTCTATTGCAATCCCTTGGTTGGTTTCAATTCTATACCCTTCTTTCTCACATGCTAGATCATCCTAAGGACACTGTAAATAAATTATGATCCCTTACAGTCCAGTGCCTTGCCTAGGCTCTCAAATATTTATGGAATGTATGGATAACTATTTCTGCTAGGCTTTCCTGCCACATGCTTGGTCAGATCAAGACAGTTTTTGCTTTTCCATCTCTAAATTTTTTCATTACACATGTTCTACAGCATGTTTCAACTGCTAGATCAAGAGGAGACCTATCAAACCTATATTGCCAATATCCTTATCCTTAGGACAAAGAAACTGAAGTTTAAGGGCTAAAGGGACACGACAAATGCAACCAATTCTCAAATGGTTCAGGAAAAAAATGTATACATACAAGGAATGAGTAAATGTGGCAAAATGTTAAAATTGGTGGAGCTGGTTAATAAATTTCATGAGTTCTTTCTATTATTCTTTCAACTTTTTGTAAGCTTGACAGTTAAATCTAAAATATTCTAAAAGAGATGACTGACTACCATTTTGAACAGTATAATGGAACATTATGTAGTTACTAAAATTCAATATATTCTTATAAAAGCTATGTTGTAAAGGGACAAAAACACAAAATAAAACACACAAAGAGTAGAAATTAATTTCTGCTATTACATTAAAAAGATGAAAATGAAAAAACCAGACTATGGTTTATTTCATGTTAATTCGGTTCCTTTTCTACAAGGTACCTAATACTTAAATAAATGATCTATCCCAAACCTAATCTTTACCTACTCTTTATCATATCCTAGTCTAAAACATGTAGGAAAAATGAATTCAAGGATCAATTCTCCACATAAATTTTGCTCTTAACTTTCTCAGTTCCAAGAACTTTCATTTGTGCTATAAAGTTATCAGATTCTGTATCAATCTTTCAAAATTTTCCCACAAATCTTGGCAAAATAAGTTATGGGTCACCTCTTTCTACAACCAAATGCTAACTTAAGATGAAGTATCATTTGCCAGCCAGAATCCTTGGGGTAGGAATGGGAGGGTACATATTGAAAAGCATTGATCGAAACACAAGAGCCAAACCATTATCAAGAAATGGCTTTGTACAAAAGGAGTGGCTACAAATAAAATACTTGCTCATGAGAGTGAATACTTTATATTACAATCAGAGAAAAGAAATGGAGGTTTGTGCACCCACTGTTTCAGTAAAAGAGATGTACATTCATCTGTTACTGACACATATGTGTTTTTAACAAGTGTTCTGTTGACAATAAGCATAGCATGACAAAAAATGCAGATCCTGGAAATGGAGTGCCTGGGTTCAAGCCCCAGCATGGCCATTTACTGACATTTACTGACAATGTGATTTTGGAGTTAACTGTTTAACTTGTTTACTCATGTGTCAAATAAAGGTAAAAATAGCATTTATATATCATATAAGCGTTAAATGATAACTGAATTACATTACTCTAAAAACAGGAAACTGTCACCCCTCATTTGAATTTTATTTAAGACTTAATTTATTCCATTCTTAAATTTTAACCCAAAACATTAAAAAAATATACCAAAACACCACAAGATGGGGGTGTTGCTGCATAGATCTCTTTCCCTTTTTTTCTCCTGTCCATGAAGTTTGGTCTTTAGGTCTCCCACTGAGAACACTGGCCAGTATACTCATCTGGATTCCCCTTCAATTCTCTGATGAAGCAGCATGATATGGTGACATGAGGTCTACAACCAAGGGTTGCTATGTTCAAATCCTAAGGCAGATTATGCAGTCACTCTCTGCCTCATTTCCATACATTGTGTTTGGCAAAATTAGTGTGGTAAGACATGCAAAATCCAATGCTTAACACAGAATAAGCACTCAGTAAAGCTGCTTCTATTGTTTTCTATTTCCTCCTCTTTTCTCTTTATTCCTCTTGTTCTACATGCCATTAAATAGCCAGTTAATGTTTGAATGTTTTTAAAATCATTTTATATTTTAGAGACCCGATCAACTTTAAAAACCCATGAATATATTTCTATTCTTGTTCAAAACAAACAAAAAAGGTTCTTTACCAGTTTTCCACAAACCCCAAACAAAACAGACCTAAAATCAAATAAAGTCATTTTATTTCTGCAGAGAAGCGAAAAATGTAGATTCCCAAGAAATACATATAATGTGAGTTACAGCATATATGCCAGTGCTGACAGAAAGTATATATGAAAAATGCTCTTGAACTAGATTTTCCCCCAGATTAACCAAATCTTCAGTCTCTTCTTTCATCTGATAGCTATTTCTTCTGCTGTTAAATTCACTAGGCCAGTCAAATTGGAATTAAACACCAAGTTGGTACACATGAAAAAATTTCAGTGAAGCCATGAGAAAGGTTGCTACAAGAAAAAAAAAAAAATCAATGTGTAACTCCAATTATTCAGATGTGTAGGACTTCTGAAGCTTTCAGAAAGTCCTGTGCTCCTTCCTATCCAGTTACTACTTCAGAACAGTAAGATTATGCTTGCTAAGAATAATTTGGGGCTTTGAAGATAGTGGGCTCACACCCTATGTGCTATGAAACACACTGCTGTTTTTCTCTTAATACCTCAAAATTTCTACACAAATTTTCTGTTGAAATAGTTCTACAAGGTGAAGTGGAGCAGTTGCACTGAAGCTATGATATACATTGTTGTATCACATCATAAACTTTAATACTGACCACTTGTTCATATTTAAAAACCCTCTACATATAAGGAAAAAAGTTATAATTTCAAAATTTTTAATAGCTCAGGCACTAGGCAATTTTTCCCCATTATAATATAATAAATCACCAAGTTATTTTTTAAGATACAGCAAAACCTTTTGAATCTATTATAAAACTAATTTTAATAGCTTTAAAAAGTCTTTTCATTTAAAAAATACATTTTCATATATAAAATTCCAAATTCTAGGGAATCATTAAGGGGTAAACACTACCAGAAAACAAATATAAAGGTATATTCCAGTATTAACTTTCAATCTATAAATACTATTTTATAGGGAATTTATAATATGCAATTATCAATTAAATTATCAAACAGCTTGTGCTGTTGTCTCATTGAAAAGTATGTTTTATTAACATGAATAAAAGTGCCAAAATGAGTAGATTAACTGCAATCTATATTTCACATTGGCTGAAAAATAAAGTGCCTTTATTAGAATTTATTTCAAGTACAATGAATCGTACAATGAATTCTAATTTTAAAAGACCTAACAAATTATCATTATTGCTGGTGGACTTCAAAAGAATATTGACTGAAATTATCCTGTATTTCACTTTTAAGTGTATCTGTGGAGAGTAATTTTATACTAAAATAATTCCTAATATTTAGAAAATAATCATTTTTAACAATCAACTAATATTAAAATTTTTATTAAAAACCAGTAAACAGATGTTGTGGCTATGAAATTCAAATATAGACTTCTCAGTTACTTGATCTACTTTATCTTTTCAGTCTTAGCTTGAATGGAATAATGTATGTAACATTAGAATTCATTCATACTTTTCAATGAGACAACAGCACAAGCTGTTTGATAATTTAAGTGATAATTGCATATCTAGATAGAGATGGTATTTGCCTGGTGGTAGTGAAGGTGGTAAGCAGTGGTCAGACAGGATATATTCTGAGTAAAGCCAGTAGTATTTGCTGCTGGATCAGAAAGGATGTGAAAGAAAAATATAAGCAGATAAAAGACATGGCAAGTATCTGATGAAATTAAAAGATGAAACAGTCATTAACTGAGATGAAAAAAGATGTGGGAGAAGCGAGTATGGAGAAAAAGATCAGGGTTTCAGGTTTAGATCAGGACATCCAAACAGAGACACTGATTAGAAATGGAATGAATACACCTGGAGTTCACGGGAAAGACTCAGGCTAAAGATACCTGTATTTTCTTGAATCTAAGATGACTTGATGCTCATCAAATCTGAATGACTTAAGTGTTAACTGAAGGCTTCACACAATATACTCTTATTTGGGGCATTGCTAACAGTGTCCGATAGATGCATTCTGATTTCAGGATGTGATTGCTTAACCATGGCACTGTTTTAGGCCAGATAATTTTTTTTTTTTAAGTTGTAGATGAAAACATAATATCTTTTTTTTTTTTAACCTTTGTTTTTATTTATTTATTTTTATATGGTGCTGAGGATTGAACCCAGGGCCTCGCATGTGCTAGGCGAGTGCTCTACCACTGAGCCACAACCCCAGCCTCAGATAATTCTTTTATGTGTGGGCTGTCCTATGTACTGTAGGATGTTCAACAGAATCTCTGGCCTCTACCCATCAGATGTCAGTAGTACCCTCCTATCATGGGCAACCAAAAATATTCAATGTCTTTTGAGGGACAAAGAGCCTCTAATTGGGAACCACTGCTTTAATGGGTTCAAATAAAGTGAAGGAAGGCACAAGAAGAGTCTTAAGTAAGTGAAATTAAAATTAAAATTTAGAGTTGTCAGTACACATGGATGAGATCAGGAGGAGTATGTATAGATAGAAAAGTAGCCTAAGAACTGTGCCTTGGGGTACTCCATAGTCAAAGAGTTTATAGATATGAAGAGGTGACTAAGAAGAAATGGCAAATGAGGTAGTTCCACTCTTCCCAAATATTGCTTTTTTTTTAAAATGACAAATTCCAAGAAAACAATGGCGATTTTTGGAAGCTAGAAAGCATTTACCTGAGAGGTAACTAACTTAGCAGACCCAAGAAATATGAATGCTGAGCCAGCACTGAAGAAAAGCAAAGTAACACCTCAATTTGTATCATGTAACCTCAAAAATCCCCCAAAGTGACAGCAGAAGTGACAGTGGGACTAAAGCAGGAAGACCCTTTACTCGCCCATTGGCAGTGGTCTCAGTTGGCTGATAATCACAGAAATCCAACAGACCTCTGCTTGGTATGGGTTTCACTCAATTCTGCAGAAAGAAAAAGAGAATGCTGGCATGCTAGCATTAAATACACCATCTTCAGAGGGAGTTCACACTACCCAGCGGGGGCCTTTTTTGAGTCCACAAATGACAGCTCCTCATAAAGGAGAGACTATGTGGGCAAATGCAAAAATCACACTGCTCGGAGAAACTTCATGCTCCATGGGAACCAGTAGAATCTTTTAACAGCCAATGAGGACAAGTTCCAGGGCCCCTCGGGGACATGTTCCCGCTCATCGACAAGCGTTACACTGTACACCAGGAAGTCAAGTTCTGCATCTTCTCATAGGCTTATATGGTTCTTCACGGACAGTCTTCCTGGTCTACCTACACTTAGTAATCAGGGGTCCATTTTGTAATAAACACTATTACCTGGAGACATTCTATACTTAATTGCAATCCAGTATGTTTCCAGGAGAGAACACCAAGAAAAGGAAAAACCCCAAAAAATTTTCATGAAAAATTAGGGCTCAGATCTCCTGTTAACTTTTTACCTAGAGCAGTGATTCTTAAATGGGGGTGATTTTGTCCTTCAGGGAACATTTTTAGTTGTTACAACTAGAGGGGAGTATGTACTACTGGCACCTGGACAGTAGAGGACAAGGATGCAGCTAAACATCCTATCATGACCAGGCAGGCCCTCACAAGAGAAAATGCCAATGGTGCTAATGGTTGAAAAACCCTGATCTAGAAAGATCAGATGAAGTTTATATACTGAACACTGAGGATCACCTCATGTCTAAACCCTTTTTTCTCTAAACACTTATAGCAGTGAGGCAGATGTCTTCTGTGCAGGAGACTGAAGAATCTTCTTTGCAGAAGGCTGCCACTCTGAAAAAACAAAAACTTAATAATCCTACAGACTACAAAAACAAAACAAACACCCCACTCCAAATAAACAAATAAAAAACACACAAAAAGAACAAACCAGAAACTAAATATGAAATTAACAGAACACTAAACTTGTTTGATGCAAGTGAGAGATTTAATCAACAGGGATAAAATTTAGAATTACAACAGTGATAAACACACAAAAATTTAATTATTTTATAAATCTAAAGATAATTATGAATTTTAGGGAAAGCAAAATGAGGTTTCAAAAAGGAGATGTAAGAGATTACAGTTTAAAAGCAAATTGCAAATACATAATCATAACAAAAACACTGAATAGTAACCCTATCAAAATATACTGCGAGAATGGAGGAACAGAAGTACAGGGAGTTGTCTAAAGACAGCTATATTCTCATTTTCCAGAGCAAGAAGTCAGCAGACAATACACACAATGGGAAAAGTCAGGAAATAGTGACGTAAGTGTGGATTTAATGGTAAGAAGTTAAATACTGTAAGAACTAGTTAAAATAGTAGGAAAGTGCTTATCTCTGGGAATAGAATATGATGTGTTAGTATAACAAGTTTTTTGTAACAAACCTCAAAGAGCTATTTGACTTTAAAATGTTCTTATAGAACTATTTAACTCTATGCATGGAAAACCAATTAAATTTTTTTTTAAAAAAATGTATTTGCAAAAAATAAAAAATAAAAATAGTATTTGCTTTTGAGGATAACTAGATACATGGGTTTGGGATCTATAGAGCTGTCCCAATTTACTTGATTTGAATCAGAACAGAGCAGACCTCCCCCCAAAAAACCACATTAAATCAAGTTCCAGGCTTGTTAAACCACTTTTCTATCCCCTCTGGGTGAGGCAAAAGAACAGGCCAGATGAGACTTTTAAGTTCTTTGCCTGCTTTATTCACCAAACCTTATTAAAAGTATTACATTAAACATTACACCATTGAATGCTAGTGTCCTTGCCCATGGATATCACTAGATATCATTTGAAGTATGTTTGCTGGGAGAGAGGGATTTTTCACTTTTTACTTCTTTTGTCCTTACATAGTTTGAACTTTTTTGAGTGTATTTTACAGACAGAAAGATAAACACACGTTAGAATATCCTTAATAATTAGTTTATAATCTGTCCTCATGCATCTTGACCCAATTCAACATACAAGATAAAGAGTAATAAAGAAAACATATCTGCAATAAAATATTGCTTAAATCTCAGTAGATGTATCTAAAAGACAAGAAAATGACAAGTAACTGGTGCTAATTATAATTTTTGAATATTATAAAGCAGAAACCAGTTTTCAAGTTCTCTATAGGTAATTAATATACCACGTAAAGTTTCATTTTAAATAAATGAAAGCATATTCTTTAGATCGATATGATTTCCTAACTTTCTCAGCAAGAAAACTCAAGTTTACCTCTAAACCGCCATGATTCATGTTTCTTTTGTGCTCTACAGTACTAGAAAAAAGCTAGGCCCATGAACAAATATACTAGGAGTTACTCACTTATGTAAATTAATCTAATAAAGTCAGCTAGGGAGAAAAAAATCAATAATGTCACATAATAAGCATAAATTTTAAATTTTTCTATAATTCCTTAAACAATATTTTACAAGATTTAACCTGTTGATTTCCTTCTTGCTTTTTGTTACTCTGTAACAGAACTGTGATCTTCTTGATAAAAAGAACTCAAAAATAATGAATTCTCTTTCACCAAACTCAGCTTTTGTTAAACTTATCGTAAATCCACTACATCACAATGACTCTTTGATAATAAAATGGGGTAAACCATGAAAACTAAAATCTTAGAGAACTACAATCGGGATGAATGTTTTTCTTATGTCCTCATTTAAATACATATGTTGAAAAGCAATTATCAACTTAGTAAATATTAGTGGCTTTGGAAATCACATTTCAATATTTTTTAATTACATGAAATAACTGATATAAATTCAAGGACTTCAAAAAGTCAAAGAATGAAAAAGAAGAAATTAAATGTTTTCAAAGTCATCTTTGTGACACAGCCATCACTGACAAGTTTTAAATGTAGAAGCATTAAGAAAGTTTAAACTTAATTTTTTAAAAAATAATTTCCCCTTTATTTAACTCTAAAATTCCAGGAAGAAAAAAGTTCCATCCATTTACCTCAGTAATTGGCTGCCCCTGAGATGTCAAATCCAGTTCTTGAGGGCGTGTCACTTTATCAATATCCAAAGAATCCATGCTGGAGGCTGCAGACGTGATGCTAGAACGTGAGGAGTTACTAATAGAGCGAACTTCAGCATCACTCACTGTGCCTGCTGATGCGGTTCTTCTGTGCTGATTAGTTACTAAGGGCTTAGTATCTTCTAGTAGAGATTGCTGAGCAGCCTCGTCCATGCTCAAGGAGGCCTGTTCTAATTGTGCAGTGATGTCATCTAGAGAGTAGTTAGCATGAGAAGGTTTAGTTATCCTATTAGATGAAGAAGATAATCCTTTCAAGGTGCCATGTTTTGATGTATGTCGGTTAGCAGGTAATTTCTGAGTAGTTTTTGTTTCTGTGACTTGACACTTACTATTTCCTGAACCAATACTGCTGAGCTCCTGCTCTATAGAGCAAAGATCGGCCATCAGGGCATCCAGATCAACAGTCTCTCCCTGATTCAGAGCTTCTGCAAAGAACACACATTTCCAGAACACGCTTAATCAGGATTTATACATTCCATTATAAATCAGTTAAATATGGGGGAAGAAGCAAAAGAATTCAACCCATTGGGTCTTAAGCTAAACAAAGTATTGCCAATAGTTTGCTTGTTTTAAATTCCAAAAGAAATCATTAGAAGAAACTAGTCCACGTTTTAAGATCTCTAGTAATTGAGGGGAATAAAGTTAAAGTTCAAAGGCAAAAATCTTAACATTGTTCCGTGGTTTTACCCACATCCTCCATAATAACTTTTCACCACAGGTTTTAATAGGCTATTAATATGATTAATGCCCAGGTAAAGATGTTAATACCAAAAGAACTGGGGGCATAAAAAGGGAAGTTTTAAAAGTCTAAAAAATAATTACAGACTGGAATGTCAATAAACTTGACTAGGTAGAATATATCAAATAAAAGCCACAGGGGCTGATTTTAAAATTATTAATAAATAGTTTCATTGGATTTTAATCAAGTGAGAAAACAACAATGGAATTAAATATGCTGGGGGGGTTCCATCTAAGTATGTATTTTGTCAATTACTAATAAATCAACTGGAATACTATTTTAGTTATGTTCTAGTCAGTCTTTTTTCTGTGATAATCTCAATTAGTAATACGCACAAATCAAGAAACATAGAACTTAGTAAGGTTATGCATAGTTTTTATATTTGGAATTGTCGCTGTATTATTCCCACATTATACAGGTTAATATACTATTTTACACTTTACTTAGTTACATCTTACCATTCAAGTTGTATATGGAGAAACGATAAGAAAAATTGGCCATGTTTGTTTCCTGGCGAAGAGGAGATCTTTTCACTGGTTCTATGGGTTTGTCAGAATCCAAAGTCTTTAAAAATAAAGTTTAATAAGTCATATTAAATTCAGGTTTCAATTACATAAAAAGATGAAAATTTTTTATGATTAAGTAAATTACTATATAATAATTAACTAAACCAAAGTTCTTCTAAGTATAGCCTTAAGAAAAAGTATAATTGGTTTTCACAGTATTTTCATTAGTTATTTCAATTTTTAGATATATGCTTACTTTGAGGGCACCTGAAAATTGAGACTATCATAGTTCAAAGTATTTTTTCAAATATATCAAGTTGTGACTGACCTAATTTTACATAAATTCACTATAAAGTAAGTTTGATATGTGAATACGGACATGGTAAGAACAGAAATGGAAAGGACTCGTGCAGAGAATTCTGTCATCTCTTTCCCTAGAGAGATATGTGTTTTTTTCGCTCAGGATAGCTTCATTCTTTGGCCATGAATCACCCTAAAGATAAAGGTCAGTTCTGATCTCAAAATTGGTAAAACCTGAGACAGAAAAGCAATTACAACTTCAAAATGAGGGCAAACTACAACTCTGCTATTCTATCTGTAACAAAACAGCAATTATACCCACAATCAAGGGTATAAGGGTGACTTATAAGTTATCTCACCACTATTTTATGTAATTAAATCTGATTAATTAATTTACTTTTGGTGCTAGAGATTGAAGCCAGGCCTAGGTCTTCTCCATACTAAGCACATGCTCCACCACTGAGCCCCCAGTCCTCATCACCTTTTTTGTTTTAATATTTTTATTAATTGTTGATGAAATTTCTTATTTTATTTATTTATTTATTTGTATGTGATGCTGAGAATCGAACCCAGTGCCTCACACATGATAGGCAAGCACTCTACCACTGAGCTACACCCCAGCCCCCCTCAACACCTTTTTAAAGAACACTTTATTTCCCTTTTTCCTTATTTCAACAATAAGGATACTTATAATAGGAAACTTCAGAAAAAGGGGAAAAGAAATTAGGCTTAGTGATATTTAAATCATTTGCATATATCAGAATCAGTTTTAAAATTTTTAGTCACTATGTAAATTAGATATAAGATATCCAAATTTTTAAAAAAGCATGGTTATTCTTTTTTTAAAAAAATATTTATTTTTTAGTTGTAGTTGGACACAATACCTTTATTTTGTTTATTTATTTTTATGTGGTGCTGAGAATCGAACCCAGGGCCTTGCATGTGTTAGGCAAGCATGCTACTTCGGAGCCACAACCCCAGCCCAATCATGGATTTAAATTAGAATTCGTGGAGGGACCTTTCTGGCTTGAGACTCCAACCATATCAATGTTTATAACGGTTCAATTTACAATAGGTAAACTATGGAACCAGCCTAGGTGCCCTTCAACAGATGAATGAAAATGTGGTATACATACAGTGGAATACTACTCAGCCATAAAGAGAAATGAAATTATGGCATTTGCTGGTAAATGGATGGAACTGGAAACTATCATGCTAAGTGAAATAAACCAATCGAATGTTCCCTCCGATATGCAAATGCTAACTCAGGATAAGAGTTGCAGGGGGTGGGGGAGTTGACAGGGAAGAACAGAAGTACTTTGGATTAGATAAAGGGTAATGAAAGGAAGGGAGAGGGAATGGGAATAGGAAAGGTAGTAAAATAAATAGGATATACTTTCCTATGTGCATATATGATTACACAATCAATGTTATTCTACATCATGTATACCAGAAAAATGAGAAGTTATACTTCATATATGTAAAATATGTCAAAATACATTCCACTGTCATGTATAACTAATAAGAATAAATAAAACACACAAAGGACTAGGGATATGGCTCTTTGGTAAAGCACCTCTGGTACACAGTACCAAATAAATAGATTTGAATACTCTGTTACTCATTGATCTAAAGATAAGTTGAATCCATACAGATAGTGCCCATCCTACTTTAAAGCTATTAAATTAAGGAGATCCACAATCTCTTCAGTGCCTTATTTCACAGTTTCACAAAATAGTCAGAAAATTCTCCTTTAATCTCAAACTTAATTCTACTGCAGCAATTTAAGCCCTAATCCCCCTCCTCTTGGTGGAACTGGAGAATAAAAAGTAGCAAACATTTTTTGTAAGATACCTGGAGTATAAAGATTTACTAAAAGTCAATCTATTTACAAGTTTAAATGAATGGTCATTTATTGTAACTACCTGCTATGTCCATGGTGCTAGGGCAACAAAGGAAATAATAAGAAATACTCCTCAGTCTAAGAAATTGGTAATTTAGTAGGAGGACTATCAATCTTTTGGGGGCAGTCACTGAGAACTTAATTAAAGCTGTGAACCCTCTTTTAGAAAAACGCACAATACACAAAATTTTACAAACTATTTTAAAAATTACCTACTACTTAAAATTTAAACTTCATTTAATACAATGCTGAAAATACAGTTGATTATGGACACAGGTGACACTTTATAGTGAGAATTTTTAAATTTCAGTAAGAAATTTAAGGTTTTAGCCACTAAGTCAATTATTTCCTGAAAATTTCCATTAAAAAGCAATGTGTTAGCAGTTGAATTGAGTCACATTATACAATAGTTTTAATCTATTTTCTAAAGACAGATTTGTATGAAGAAAAGAACAACCATAGCATGTTTAGGAGCCATTCCTTTTTTGGTGAGTGGCTCTTTCCATTTACGTTAGGCAATTTAAAATATAGGGGAGAATACATGAGAACAAACCAGTAGAAATTTAGTTTACAGTGGGTCAGCATGGAGTTCCCACTCCACCTTTATTATTTCTACAGATACCTAAATGTCTTTCTTTTTTCGCTCCCCTCTCAAGCAAGGACAAAACCCCACCTGATCAGGGACAAGACACATGTCAGCTGGCCCTTGCATAATTTTATTCATGCATGCTCATTTTTGTTTTCTCTCCTTTGCTTTTTTCTCCCCAGCAAAAACTACTTAACTTAGCCATCATCTCTATGCCAAAATTACCATCTTAAAAAAATTAAGGATTAAATAGAAATGGCTGACAATACAGACATAAAAGACATCCTAGGGTCAATAAACTATGAACTGCATAAGGATTAAAAGAAAAAGAGAGAGAGAGAAAAAAAAAAGACAATATTCCAGGCAGTATGGGTGGGGCTTACTTCTGATCAAAAGATAAGCGAATGTCCCAAGAAAATCATTAGTAGGATTGAACAGTCTCCCAAACTTTCAATTATTAACAAATCATGGTCACAGGCATCTGATTTTCAAAATGATCTACAGTACAGAAATAAGTTAATATTTTATGTTTCTACTGTACCAATGAGTACTGTACCATTAGCTAAAGAACCTCATACTTATGTATTCCCAAAGATATCACTTAAGGATAAATGTTATTCTAATTTTATCACTGCCACAAAATTAAATTTATTTTAATAAACCATCATCATATATTGAATACAATGTATTACATAGGGCAGTAAAAACTAACATTTTGTTTTTAAGTGTCCTGTGTTAGATTACAGAATAAGGTTATTATTATTTTTAAACCCATAATCCAATAAAACAAAAGGTAACCACTCTTTAAAATGCACCATGAAATGGAATTTTGTCAGTATTCTAGAAACAAGTAATAGAAAATACTGACATGCAAGG